CCTTCATATCCTCCTCCCAAACCACCTCCACAAACACCTCCTCTGGTCCCTCAGTACCCCCAGAAACCCGCTTATCCTCCACCCCCACCACCTCCCCAAACACCTCCTCAGAAACCTGCCAATCCTCCACCCCAACCACCTCCCCTAACACCTCCTCTGGTCCCTCAGTACCCCCAGAAACCCGCTTATCCTCCACCCCCACCACCTCCCCAAACACCTCCTCAGAAACCTGCCAATCCTCCACCCCAACCACCTCCCCTAACACCTCCTCTGGTCCCTCAGTACCCCCAGAAACCCGCTTATCCTCCACCCCCACCACCTCCCCAAACACCTCCTCAGAAACCTGCCAATCCTCCACCCCAACCACCTCCCCTAACACCTCCTCTGGTCCCTCAGTACCCCCAGAAACCCGCTTATCCTCCACCCCCACCACCTCCCCAAACACCTCCTCAGAAACCTGCCAATCCTCCACCCCAACCACCTCCCCTAACACCTCCTCTGGTCCCTCAGTACCCCCAGAAACCCGCTTATCCTCCACCCCCACCACCTCCCCAAACACCTCCTCAGAAACCTGCCAATCCTCCACCCCAACCACCTCCCCTAACACCTCCTCTGGTCCCTCAGTACCCCCAGAAACCCGCTTATCCTCCACCCCCACCACCTCCCCAAACACCTCCTCAGAAACCTGCCTATCCTCCACCCCCACCACCTCCCCTAACACCTCCTCTGGTCCCTCAGTACCCCCAGAAACCCGCCTATCCTCCACCCCCACCACCTCCCCTAACACCTCCTCTGGTCCCTCAGTACCCCCAGAAACCTGCCTATCCTCCACCCCAACCACCTCCCCAAACACCTCCTCAGGTCCCTCAGTACCCCCAGAAACCCGCCTATCCTCCACCCCAACCACCTCCCCAAACACCTCCTCAGGTCCCTCAGTACCCCCAAAAACCCTCCTATCCTCCACCGCAACCGCCTCCCCAAACACCTCTTCAGGTCCCTCAGTACCCCAAGAAACCCGCCTATCCTCCACCCCAACCACCTCCCCAAACACCTCCTCAGGTCCCTCAGTACCCCCCAAAACCCTCCTATCCTCCACCGCAACCGCCTCCCCAAACACCTCCTCAGGTCCCTCAGTACCCCCAGAAACCTGCAAATCCTCCACCCCCACCACCTGCAAATCCTCCACCCCAAGAACCTCCTCATCCAATATTCCCTCCGCCACCACAGGTACCTCAGCATTTGTATCCTCCGGCCCCTCCACCCCCTCCGCCCAGACCAGATTCATTTCACACTTGTGAAATAGCCGAGAACTACAAAATACAGTGTGGTGCTCCTTTCATCACTGCCTACGATTGCAATGCTATAAACTGCTGCTATGATGGACGCATGTGCTACTATGGCAAATATGGTAATATCTTTCCTTTATAAAAAAAATTTCAGAAACTTTTGAAAAATGTACTCAAAGAAAATGTACTGAATTTGCACTCTTTTTCATCATTTGTTTGTTACAGTGACTCTTCAGTGCACCAAGGATGGCCAGTTCATCGTGGTTGTGGCCAGAGATTCCACCCTACCCAATATTGACTTAGAGTCCTTAAGTTTCCTTGGAACTGGTCAACTTTGCAGTCCAGTTGCTACCACTTCAGCTTTTGCAATCTACCAGTTCCCTGTAACTGACTGCGGCACTGTCATGACGGTAATGTCTGAATTACACCTCTCGCACTTGATTTGCATTCATTTTTCCAACATTAAATCTTGTCCTTTACTTGCAGGAGGAGCCTGGTGGTATAATTTATGAGAATAGGATGACTTCTCTGTTCGAAGTGGCAGTTGGACCTTATGGATCCATTACCAGGGACAGTCAGTTTGAGTATGTGTTTTAATGCCTTAAAATTTACTGATCACTATAGGCTGAAAGGTGCTGAGAACAGCTAAAGAAGAGAGCATTCAGTGTTGCTACAAAACACAGGTGTTAAAATAAGTTTGTGTAGACAGACCTACAAGACGTTCTGATCTTCTAATTATTTTTTTCTCTCAGGCTGCATGTCCAGTGCAAATACGTTGGTACTGCTGTTCAGGCTTTGGTCATTGAAGTTCTCGTACCTCCGCCACCACTACCAGTTGCAGATTTTGGACCTCTGCGTGTCGAACTCAGGATTGGCAATGGACAATGTGTTACCAAGGGTTGTATTGAAGGTAAATGTGAAGGACATCATTTTTACAGTTAGATTTTTTTCCTGACTGCTTCAATAACTATTTGTTTTCTTCTTTTATTTTCGTTTATTTACAGATCAAGTGGCATACACTTCCTATTACACTGATGCCGACTACCCTGTTACAAAGATTCTCAGGGACCCAGTGTATGTTGAGGTCCACATGTTGGACAGGACTGATGCTAACATTGCCTTGACTCTTGGAAGATGCTGGGCAAATACCAACCCCATCGCTGATTATCTTCCACAGTGGGATTTGCTTATTCATGGGTAAGAGTGAGTTTTGATTTGACTTAAAAGACATTCATGTCAAATAGGTTGCCTTCAGGCCCAGACCTCCCTTACAAAAGAGATCTGAGATCTCAGTGGGACTTACCTGGTTAAATAACGGTAAACAAATGTCATTTTTATAATGTGTTTTTGCCAATAATTAACTCTTTTCTTGCGCAGCTGCCCCTACCGTGATGATCGCTATCTAACAAGACTCATCCCTGTGGATGCTTCATCTGGAGTCTACTACCCAAGCTACTACAAACGATTTGAATTCCAGATGTTCACATTTGTCAGCGGGGGTGCATCTGATTATACCAAGAAGATACCTTCAGATCAACCATTTACTCCTTTCAGTGAATATGTATGAGTGGTTTTGTTAAAGTGAATTTTTGTATATACTAAAATCAGATTTAAAACACATCTGTAAAAATATTTTATTTCTTTTTTTAACCAGGTGTTTGTACACTGCGAGGTTTCTATATGCCAGATYACTGCAACAGATAACTGTGAACCAAGGTGCTTCAGAAAAAGTAAGTAGCTCCTTCATTCCAACAGTTTTGTGACTGTCTAGGCTTTTATTCACTTGAGCAGAATGTTTGTGTTGTGGTTGAATCTGTTTGTCTGACTGTTGCCATGTTCTGTGTGCAGGGAGAGAGATTTCTGGTTCTACCAAGAAATTCTACAGAGAAGAGACCACTTTGATCAGCAGTAAGGAACTTATCATCACTCAACCCATTTCTGAGTAACAACGACCAAACGAAGCATCGTCGAAGTTCCTGATGTAGTTAAAATAAGCCTGAGTTTCAAATGAATCCTTTATTGGCTAAATGTGTGGTCTGGTTGTATTTTCTGTATTTTTCATATAAGAAATAAAAACATTTGAACAGTGTTTTTCAGTTAAAATGTTAGCCAAAGCTCCCACTGCAAACTTTATTTTAATTGGTGAATAAATGTATTTTTTTCTAAGCCAGACATGGTTATTAGCTACAAGATGGAACGTGTAGATCATTTTCCTTACTAAAAAGAGATAAAGTATATGGAACCATCATATACATTGTTAAAATTTAGATTTTTATGACAAAGTAGAATTTCTAAAATATAAATGTTTAGGACAGGGGTCTGCCTTTATAAATGTCCATGTCTGTTGCCGTCGTGTTGTGGCTATTTGTTGTTGTGTTGTAGCTTTTGTTGTGTTGTGGCTTTTGCATTCTGTTGACCTTTTGGGGCCACCGTTGTAACTATTACAAATAATAAAAACAATAGCTATTTCCAGTGTTCAAGGTCAGCATTCAACTGCTTTGTCAGAAAGACTACAGAACACAGTTGAAGTTATATGAACACTTTGAACGAACCAGATATCCACAGTGTCCTGGTGCATCTCATTAATACGCTGCAAACTACTGACACTGAGCATGCACATAATTATTGACATACTGTATACATATTAGTAGTCATGTACTAAATTGGATAGATGTAAAAAAAAAAAAAACACTACATTTCCCAGAAACCTTCAGAAAACAGGCGGCTGACATAATGACAGAGCATCGACCATTGAGATGATTAGAAAAACAGAACTCAAAATCTGATTGGATGTTGAGTACTCCTCTCAGCTCAACTGAGAATACTGAACCGAAGGTCTTACCCCCATGAAAGTTACATCAAAATGATCAGCGAAGTCTCGAGATGTGTGCTTTTACTTTTCTTTACACTCACTGTTACCAAAGTGACGCAATTCACAAAAAACACCATCAAAATCGCCATGAAATATCAAGGCTCAATAACTTCCACAAAAAAGGTCACAGCTGCATGATCATTTCTGTGTGTAATACCATACATGCACTCATCACACTCAAGTGGTCATTTGATGAAATCACCTTAGCCCCGTACCCTTAAAACAGGAAGTGACTTATTTACCTGCTGGGTGTTTATCTTTACGCTGTGACTCATACACATTTCTACCTGTGTCTGGTGACACAATGACTTGATACTGCATGCTTATCCCAGCACTGAATGCTGGTTGAATTTTGTGGGCGTGACCAAGTGGCGAATGATGATGCCTCGCCGTTTGCATACGTTTGGCTCTAAATCACACATCCATGATCCGATTTGTTCCAAACATGAGATCTATGATCTTTGATAACCTCTGATGTGGCCTATAGGATTACATTGGAGTTTGACTCAACAGTGCCACCTACATTAGATAAACACTTGTAGCTCACTGATACCTCATCCAATCTGCACCAAATTTGGTGTGTCATCAGTGACCACTGTTTGTAAAATCAACACAACTCAAGACACAAAATGACATGTCGGCCATTTTAAATTTCAGGTTTTTGTGGTTTTCTGCCTTCCTACGTCACTTTCATATGGTTATTGGTGGTTTCGACTGGTTTTACACCCTCCTACGCCCCTTTCTCATGGGTTTTGATGGGTTTTGGTGGTTTTTGGCCATCCTAGACCACTTTTGCATGGTTTTTGATGGTTTTTGGTGGTTTTGACTGGTTTTCGGTCCTCCTAGACTCCTTTCATGTGGTTTTCAGTGGTTTTCTGCCTTCCTACGCCCCTTTCACATAGTTTTAGATGGTTTTTGGTGGTTTTCAGTGGTTTTCATCCCTCCTAGGCCCCTTTCACATAGTTTTTGATGGTTTTTTTTGGTTATTTTTACTATTTTTTGGCCCTCTTAGTCCCCTTTCATATTGTTTCTGATGGATTTTAGTGGTTTTGGCTGATTTTCGGCCCTCCTAGACCCATTTCATCTGGTTTTTGGTAGTTTTGGTGGTTTTCGGTGATTTTCCACCCTCCTACACATAATTTTTGATGGTTTTTGGTGGTGTTCCGTGGTTTTCCCTCCTAGGCCCCTTTCACAATGTTTTGATGGTTTTGGTGGTTTTGACTGGTTTCGGCCCTCCTAGGCCGCTTTCATATGGTGTTTTATGGTTTTTTGGTGGTTTTGACTGGTTTTCGGCCCTCCTAGGCCCCTTTTACATGGTTTTTGATTGTTTTGGTGGTTTGGTGGGGGATTCAGCCCTCCTCTGTTCCTTTTACAAGATTTTGGATGCTATTGGGGGTTTTCAGTGGTTTTAGATCCTCATAGGCCCCTTTCACTTGTTTTTTTAAGGGTTCTTTGCGGTTTTGGTTGGTTTTTGGCCCTCCTAGGCCCCATTTACAGGGTTATTGATGGTTGTTGGTAGTTTGGAGTTGTTCTCGGCCCTCCAAGGCTAACAGTACTGCTGCCAAACTAAAAATCTAGCATTGCTGCCACAGCTAAAATGCTACATTTACCATAACTCAGCACTTTTTTAAAGATTCAAGATTCAAAGTTTCAAAGTGTTCATTTTCATATGCACAGATGAAAACACGTTTCCCTGAGCAATGAAATTCTTACTTTGTCGTCTATTTTGAATGCCAAGAGGTAACCATATTAACAAAAGAAACGAACCATCACCGAAAGGACACAAACAATGTTGATTAGATAAAAAGAAGAGACTGAACTAAGGATAATAACATCAGAAGGGAACAATATAATAATAACAAGAAGAAGGGAACTGTGCAATCTGTTTTAAAGTGTAATGTGCAAATGTGCAACAGGTAACAGTCTGAAATGTGCACATGTGCATTAATAATAGTCAGAAGAATGTCATGTTCAGCTGTTTAAAAGTCTGATGGCACTTGGGGAAAATGAGTTCTTGTATCTGGAGGTTCTGCATGTCACATTTATGTACCTCCGGCCGGAGGGCAGAGGCGTAAATAGTCCATGCTGGGGGTGGGTTGGGTCTTTGATGATTGAGGCTGCTCTCCTGTGAACCCCGCATTGGTAGATGCTCTGCAGAGAGGACAGTGAAGTCCCTGTGATCTTCTCAGCAGTTTTTACCAATCTCTACAGACGTTTGCAATCCATGGCACTGTTGTATAAGGCTGTGATGCAGCTGATCAAGATGCTCTCTACAGTGCAGCTGTAAAAGTTCCTGAGGATCCTTGTTGACATGCCAAACTTCCTTAGTCTCCTCAGGAAGTAAAGTCTCTGTTGAGCCTTCTTGACCAGCTGTGTTGTGTTCTTAGTCCAGGTCAGGTTCTCAGTGAGGTGGACGCCCAGATATTTAAAGCTGCTCACCCTCTCAACCTCAAGGTCTCCGATGTGCAGTGGTTGGTGCGGCCTCCTTTCCTTCCTCTCCCTTTTTTGACACATTTGCCTCAAATTTGGGATTAGTTCATCATAGTGATCTCCAAACAACCGTATATTCATATCTTTAAAAAAATTGTTAAAAGGAGTTTGGCAGTGGGAATCCTGTCATAGTTTCTCCAGGAACTATTCTAGTTACTACTAATAATTAGCGTCTAGACATTTACACATTTCTTGAATGAGAAAGTGTGCCCAACCTTTTAAATGGCACTCTATGTATACATGTAGAACGTTTGCAAGGCTGTTAAATCCCCAGTTTTAGAAGCAATCTTAATACATGATGTTGCAGTTGATTGGAAATAACATTTCAAGTTTGATCAAATGCATACATGATTAAAAATTAAATCAAATTACTTCATATTTAAGTCCCTAACTTTTTAGTACAATTCGTCAGAATATGACGGTTGAAAAAAGAACTTGTAACACTCAAAACCAGTTTTGTGTTTTAGTCTAATGGTCAGTTTAAATAGGTTTAATCAAAACTGATAAAAGATTTTCTTGTCCATCTTGATGAACTGGTTATGTTGTGCAAACTCTTGAGATGATGTTTGTCTTGCAGTGGTGGACTAAGCAACCTACTCTACCTGTGTAGTTTGCCCCATCATGTACAATGTTTGGGGGAAGAACCTCACCAGGTGCTCCTTAGAGTGTATGGTGCCATCCTACAGGTGGGTCTGCTCAGTTTCAGTCGTCAAGAATACAGCGGGTAAAATAAGTATTGAACACGTCACCATTTTTCTCAGTAAATATAT